GAGTANACCTATCTAGACGTTTTGGCCAATAAAATCACATTAATGACGTTCATAATGACGTCATATTACGTCACAACGACATAAAAATTGTACGTATGATAAATTTTTACTAGTACATCATCCTCTGAAAATTTGGTGGTCCTACGATATACCGTTCTCGAGTTCTGAGGGGGGGCCGAATGAGCCCCCCCCCCCCCCGGTCCCACCAAGCCCAAAAAAGCCCGGTCTAGATAGGGTTAAGTCATCTTAAAAAAAAAAACACACCTGGTCACTAGACATTGGAAAATTAACTTTACCCACCTGTAAGGAATCAAAGCTGGTCACTAGTCATGGAAAATGAACTTAACTCACCTGTAAAGAACCAAAGCCGGTCACTAATCATTGAAAATGAACTTAACTCACCTGTAGGGTACCAAAGCAGGTCACTCTCATGGAAAATGAACTTAACTCACCTGTAAAGAACCAAAGCCGGTCACTAATCATTAAAAATGAACTTAACTCACCTGTAAGGAACCAAAGCAGGTCACTCTCATGGAAAATGAACTTAACTCACCTGTAGGGTACCACAGTTGGTCACTGGGCATGGAAAATGACTGTGTGGCCAAAACAGCTGGCCAATACGCCTTCTATCTATCTTTAGCAAAATAATGGAGAAGGTTGTCAGCAACCAGATATATACTTATTTCAAAGAGAACAATCTGATGTCACCCTATCAGCATGCTTTCCGGAAACACCACTCGACGTGTACTGCACTTCTGCAACTAGTCGATGACTGGTACCGCAAAATCGACCAGGGGAACATCATTGGAGTCATCTCTCTTAATTTTTATGCTGCCTTCAACCTGGTGGACTATAACTGCTTGTTACAAAAACTAGCGTGCTATGGCTTCTCGGACATGGCAGTAGACTGGATGGACAGTTACCTAACGGGGAGATCGCAATGTGTGCACTTAAACGGATCCAACTCGTCTCTCAAGGAGATACACTGTGACGTTCTGCAAGGGAGCTCTCTCGGTCCGTTATTGTTTACAATCTACACGAACGACCTGTCACTGGCCGTGACTGAAGCCACTCCTGCTATGTTTGCAGACGGCACATCAGCAAACACATGTGCTCCAACAATCCAGACCGTCCATTCTACAGAGGGAGATGTGTAGACTACATGACTGGGTGAAATTGAACAAGCTGTGTCTAAATCCTAATAAAACCAAATGCATGGTGCTAGGGAGCAGACCAAAAATTTCAAAGAAACCTGTACTTACCTTGTACGCCGATGGGAGTCTAAACCGGCAGGTTACAGAAATGAAACATCTTGGAGGAGTGCTTGATGACATGCTCACATGGGACCTTCACATAAAGCACATCATTAAGAAAATTGCCTGTTCCTTGGGAGTAATCAGAAAGAACGTGGCCTACCTGGACCGGTCGCTGTTGAAACTCCTGACAGAATCACTCACATTGACTCAACTCGACTACTGCACATCCGTATGGTTTTCCACTTCTTTCCACTTCACTTTCCACTACAAATGCTACAAAATAAAGCAGGGCGACTGATCCTGTAATGCGATCGCCGTACCAGGGTTAATCAGATTAACGAGGAACTGTCTTGGCAGACCGTGGAGGAGAGACTTAAAATCAGTAACATCTGAACTTTCAAAAAAAATCTTGTCTTCCAAACAACCAACCATACAATCAACTGTGCCCGGTATCACATCAACACACTTACAGAACGAGATATGCTACTCGGAACACCTTCAAACTAGACAAACCAAAAACAAACAACACTAAAAACGCCTTCACATACAGAACTACTGCAGCATGGAACTCTCTACCACATGGGCTGCAAACAGTGGCATCACATGAGAAATTCGAACAAGGCCTGCTAAAGCACATGAGGGACATGAATAAGAGCACATACTATGTTACACACTTGTTTTCTTTTAAAATACTATGTAATGTAAATGTATATGTAATTGTACGTGATGTATTGTTATGTATTACATGTGTGTACCCTCTCCTGGAAGAATAGCTGCCACCTTCGGGTGGGCAGCTAAGGGAGAGTTTTCCTTCAATAAACCTCAATGTACTTAACTCACCTGTGAGGTACCACACCGTACCGATAGCAGTGGAAAATGAAGTAACTTACGTGGAAGATTCCACACCTGTTTCCTAGCCATTCATAATGAAATCTTAACTATTTTAAAGTCTTTCAACCAAACATTGGTCATGTTTGTCAATTTATTCATAATTTAAAAAAAAGGCATTTTTACCTCCATCACATGTCATGGAGGTTATATTTGTCTTTGTCAGAAAGACTATGGAATCGTATTATGGGTGACTGCGTATTTATCGAAATAAGTGTTGATGGCATGATTTGACGTTCATGATTTTTGGCAGGCAGATTACCGTTGTTGGGGCCGAAGTTAAACCGGCCAGTATTTTTCACTGGGTAAAAACAATAAGGAAGTGCTCCCACTGTGCCCTTCCCAGCAGGTTGAATAGTGAATTGGCCCATAAACTCTAGACAGTCTACCCTTCAGAACAAAGGCTGGAGCATCTGCATATTGGTCAGTTTTCAAAGATTCAATTTTTTTATTATCTACTGGTTTTCAGAGTAACATTTTCAAATGGCAGAATGACTCAAATACTTGTTACAAAGCCACATAAGCACAACAATTTTTCTTGTGTAACAATGCCGTTGGTCCTTAAATTTGCCATATCTACGATGTTGCGGATTATGCTAGAAAATGGAACTATTCTAACCTGAACTCTAACCTGAATTTCGGCAAGGTCAATCGAATCGGCGAGGGCAATGGCATGATTGAGCGTTTTATCATTGAGTGAGGATTAAAAGAGCGCAGTGCTTGCGTTACCAAGGAGGTTTAGCATCAAACTTGGTGTTACTTTGTATTTTCATTGAAATATAGTTCACACAACTTACTCGCTGGGGTATGAACATATCACATACACGGCGTTGATTTTGAGAAAC